CTGCTTTTTCCATATGTGCCCAGCTAAAGTTTGGGACCTCATTGCATTGATGACTGGAGAAGCTTGAGAGGGTTTGAGCTGGGTTGTGTGTGGGATTGGGTCCCCTTCTCTTGCAGGGGCTTGCCAGGGGGCAGGGAGCCAGGGGTCTCCTCCTCTCTGGGGGCTGCTCACGAGGGTTGTGCAGCCTCTCCTCCCCCGCTCACCGAGGGCTGTGCCCGGTGTCGGGTGATGGTTTCCCCATGCACAGTCCATGCTGGGTTGCCTCAGCTTTGGGGAGTCAAGCCACAGCAGCCCGGCACGGAGGGAGCCCATGGGGGCCCAATCCAGCCTGGTGCATGGGTGCGAGGGGGTGCTGCTCTTTTTTCCCACCCGTAGCTGTGTGCCCCTCGGACCTCCAGCAGCTCTGGAAGGAGGTCACAGCGGCCCAGCCCGTCGAGGACAGCGTTAAGCAAGAAGGTCTCGACCTCACCACCAACACCTCCAACTCTACCTCGTTTTCGGCCGCCAAGGTCTCGCCTCCCATTTCCCATCACCCTCTGCCCAATGGACAGAGCACCATGCACACGCCGAGAAGGGACAGGTAGAGCCGAGTCGGACCCTGGCACTTTGTGTTTTTACCCCTGGAGGGGTGGAAGGGGATGGGATCCATCGCCCACAGGGCTGCCAACAAGGTTGGGAGGGTTGAGGGGTTTCTACGCGCCCCATAAACAAGTCCCTGTGGCTGTTTTGCTGCCCCCTCGGAGGGCAAATCTCTGCAGTATCTCTCGTGAGTCCCATGCACGGGAACACAGGAGCATCAGGGCTGAGAGTCCCTTTCTGTCTTGTGCAGCTCTTCCCATGAAGAGACCCCCGGCTCCCACCCGCTCTACGGCCACGGAGAGTGCAAGTGGCCTGGCTGCGAAACCCTCTGTGAGGACTTGGGACAGTTTGTCAAGTAAGTGTTCCCCTTTTTGGGGAAGGTTTTGCTGGAGGAGGAGAGAGCCTGAGCTCTCGGCCAGGACAGCGTGGGTCTGGTGGAGGGGGAGACCCTGGAAATGGGGTGTGGACACCCCAAAGTCTGTGCTCAGAGCCGGAGGGGGCAACAGGAGAGAACACGCCAAGGACTGCTGCTACAGGAGAGGAGACCCAGTGCAGCGGGCAGGGCCGGGAGTTTGCAGCTCCCCTCCTGGGGGGCGAGAGGAGGGAGGAAGCAGATGGCAGCGCGGCACCCGCTGACACTGCTTGTGGGCTCCGGTGCTGACTGATTAACTCCGCTGTCGAAGAGCCCTCTGCTAGCGTCAGGGTCAAACAAATTGTTTTCACGCTTCGTCAGAGGTTTACTTAATTAGTTCATTTGCAATTAGATCTCTTTGTAGCCAGGATTTTTAGCAAAGACATCAGAAGGAACTGACGGGCCTTGCTTGCTCCTTCCCCCCCGCCTCTCCGTCTGTCTGCTCAGCGCGGTGGCCGAGACGCTTCGGTGCGCGCTTTGCGCTCCATCGGCGCGATTTTGAGTTTTTACAAACTGATGCCAGCCGCTGCCACGCGCTCGGGGCCGGCTCTGGTGGGAGCATCCCTCAGACCACGCCAGCCTCCTCGTGCCCACGGAAGGAGCTGGGCAGAGGCTGAGGATGAGGAGGTGCGAAGGCAGCCTGGGCGGGCTGGGGGAGCGTTGCCTGGTGGCGACTGAGTGGATGAGTCAGGCTGCTGTGTCCTCCTTCCTCTGACTCACGGGGTGAACGTAGATAAGGCATCTCCTCCTGCCTCTCCAGGCATATTTATGTGGCACAGGGCAGATAAACAAGCTCCGATTTGGAAGTTGGAGCTGGGGTTGGCCAGGACTGGATCGTGGTGCTGGGAGAACTTCACTGTGCTGACTGGGTCCCTGCATGCCACCGCAGCCTCCCCACAGCACTAGTGAAGTGTTTCTGTCCCCTCTCTGCCAGCGTGAGCTCATGGTGGGATGCGGGACAGCCAGAGAAAATTTCCAGCTCCCAAAGGCTGAGCCCAGCTGCGGTGTGGTCCTTGCTTTGAGTCTGAGCACCGGCCTCGAGCCTCCTCTAAGCATCACCTCCACCGAGCAGCTCCGAAAGCCTCAGCGTTGGCGTGGGAAGGGGCAACACGCCCTTTGAGCTGGGATTTAGAAAAGCCGGTGAGGGTGGGTGAGTGGGAGACAGCGTCTCCCTTCGCACTCAGCCCAGCCTCAGGTCTCGGTGGCCTTTCCCTGGAGAAGCG